ACACCCAAACTAAATTTGTACTTCTAATCACTTATTCATCAAATAACTATCATTGTTTGGAAGATGTCCACAAGTTTTCAACTTTTCTCAAAGGTAAACTTCGCATATCTTGGGCTTTCCACATTTATACACTTTCTTGATGGTATTTCTCATTTTCAATCATTAATGCTTGGGTTTTGGTGTTGCATTACCTGCTTTAAAACTTACCATATCATTTCATCAAGTTTTGCCCAACTATTTCACCATCACTTCGATTTATGTCATCTTTTGGAATGTGTTTGGCATTTTTATTGTTATTTTCTTGTTGCTTTGATCATTTTGATTGAGATTCTATATAATGCATTACATTTTTTGATTATTGGCATCGATTTTCATCAATTTTTGCATGATTTTTCATCCAATATTTGTGTGGTAAGGTTTTGGCATGAGTTTTATGGGTTTAGTGCGTTTCTCCACTATGGTTGCTTGGTTTGTGATCGTGGCATTGTTGAGTGGTGGTTAATGTTGTGATTTTTGGGGTTTGAAGATGTGGTTGGTGGCTTGCGTAAACTTGAATAGGATCGTAGGATCAAAGTTGATGTTGGTTGATTGTTTGGTTGAGTTTGAGATGTTGGACTGGACCATTGTTGGTGTCGGGTTATTGTTTAGGAGTTTGCATTGTATTGGTTGTGCTTGAGTATGCTTGGATAGGCATCACATGGTGATGTCACGTCACCACGTCATGGCATCGTGTCACTACATTGTGACTTCACGTCACTACGTCTTGACACCACGGCACGTGTTATGCCTTCACGTCACTTACGTCTAGCCATCACTGCATGTCGTCATGCATTCACCATAGGGCACGTTGCATGTCATTTCCTTTGCCTCATTTTGCGTGCATGCATGCATACCATACATTTCATGATTTAGTTTGTCATATCTCGAGGTTTTGATTTTGTGTTTCAATTCTTTCAGATGCCGTCCAAGAGAGCACGTACTTCTACTTCCACTCCTAGTACTTCGACTTCTTACAGTCGAACTAGGTTCATTTCTGCTGTTGCCTAAGATGTTTTTGGGTCACAGTTTTCCCTTCGCTTTGTACTCTTCGAGCGCGAGGTCATCATGTCTGACCTTTCACCTGACCTCACTGCTATCTTCACTTCCCGGGGTTGGGAGCCACTACTAGTTGATTTGACACCCCTGCCTAGTCTTTTAGTTCAGGAGTTTTACGCTAACATCGATGATGTTATTGGCTCTTCTTTTAGGGTTTTTCTTTGGGGACGGGTAGTTAAGATTACTCCGGACATCATTTCTAGTCTTATTCATATTCCAAGAGTCGTCTACCCCCTCTTTCCCTATTTGACTCCCGATTCTCTTCCTTCGGACACTTTAGTCTGATCCAGGTGTTTAATGCACTGATGGAGGGTGGTCCAGGTGCGATGTCACTGGATCTTTACCCATTGAACGCCAGATTCTGTTGCGTATTTTTGCACGAATCTGTGGCTAGTTTCTCATACTTCTTCATTGCCTATGGAGAAGGTTTGATTCCTGTATGCCCTGCTGCATGGTGATTCTATTGATTTGCCTTCTTTTGTATGCCAGCAGATCTTGAGGGCATTTAGGACCACGGGGACTCGGGTTGGGGTGCCTTATGCTTGTCTCATCTATAGGTTAGTCACTGCCCTAGGAGCTAGTTTTCCCAAAGGGGTTCCGCGGCGGGTTTCTCGGCCGATTGGCCATACCACTATCGCCTAGAGCAGGTCACATGCCTCTTCTAAGCTCGCACCGTCTCAGGCCGATCCGACTGTGCCGGCTGATCCTATCGATGACCTGATCTCCCTTGATCCTTCGGATTTTCCTTCTCTTTCTACTGCTCCTGCGTTCACTAATTTTCCATCTTCTTCTCCGGCTCCTCCTCCTTCCGCGTCAGTACCTCCTCCTCCTCCCGAGTCTACTCCTTCTGCGTCTGCTCCCATCGACCTGTCAGTTGCTCTCTTGGGACAGATGATCATGCTTCTCGAGCGGTAGACTCGTATGATGGCTAAGATTACACAGCTTTGTGCTACCGTTGATCGCCACACCGTCGAGTTCGCTACATTGCGGGGTGCTATTGGCTACATTCAGCGTGGACTATGATGGATTCGTCGCCATTGGGATGATGCTTCTGAGGAGAGGATGGACTCTGATGATGCCGATTACCCTGTTGGTGCTTCATAGATATAGACTTATCCCTTGTCATTGTGTGACAAAAAGGAGGAGTAGTTATTGAGATGTATAGCAGTATCATTTATGTTGATATGGGGAGGATAGATAGTAGATTTCGGTTCGCTAAATTAAGTTTTTGATGTTTTTGCAGTGTCAATATTTCGTTTTGGTATGTTGGGTTGCACTGATACTGTGTCTTAATTTAGCTTGTGATTTAAAATTGAAAAATATGCTATTTGAGTTACAATTGCTTAAATGACATCTACAAGTGAACTGTTTGAAATGTGATTAACTTTGATAATGTTTTCCACACATTTTACACTGATATTTGAGTTGTCTATTTCAGGAAACAGGCACTGCAGAGTTCGTTCAAGACGGTTTGTAGTTTAGGCTGTGTCATTATTTTGAGTCTGTAACTTTTATTTTATTACTGCCTTGACATAGATTAGTGTTTTGTCACAGAATGCTAAATGGAGAGTTTGTTAGGTTTTAGTTGATTTTGTAATTGGCAAATTCTGTGGACAAAAGGATTGAAATTGACATATTGTAATAGTTCAAGGAGTAATGTGCAAATATGTTGAAAATAGTTTGTTTTTAAGTCTAGAGTTTGAGAATGTCAAAAGGAGGAAAACTGTGCGGATTTTCGCTGGACTGTCGCCATGGATTGACTCGACCTACAAAAACAAAAACACAGTCGCTAGACCGTCGCCCCTCTTTCGCTCGAGCGACAACTTTATTCGAAAAAATTTTATTTCGCGTTTTAAAGGGTTTTTCTCTGGTCCATTCGGTTTTTAACCTACCTATAAATATTAGAACTCATTTGTACAAAAAATTGAAGGTTGAATATTGAGAGAGCTACATTTATGAGAGTTTGATTTGATTCCTTCCTTCAACCTTCATCTCATGAGTTTGTTTTGGAGTGAAAAACATCAATTCCACAATCCAAATACCTAACCGCTATTCCTTTACATCTGATCAGAGTTCTGAAGATCGAGGAAGTTTGACTGGAGTTCCAGTCTGTGAAGAACGCGGTGTTCTTCGTGGATCCACAGGAGATAAACGATTTCACAAAGTTAGAAGTTGCTGCAGGAGAGCAGAATCCAGGAAAGCTTTGGAAATTGCAGCTGGGAGTGGTGCAGGAGCACATAATCTAAGAAAGCTGTTGGAATTGCAGTCAGGAGATCAGATAGTACGTGTCGTCGTCTAGTTTGGTAGACTGTAAGTTGTTAAATTCGTTTATAGTGGATTGACCGGTAAATTGGCCGGAGTTTTTCCCAGTTGAGTTTCTTCTTGATCATACTATTGTTCGTTTACTGCTTTATATTATGAATGTATGATCTGTGGTATTTAAATTTAGGATTAAATTGACTGCATGATTAACCATCTATAGATGATTAATTGGTAACTTGTTGCTAATTAGTTAATAAGATTTTAAGTCCGCATATTACACATATTCACCCACCTCTAGGTGTTGTTAGGGTTGAACTTGCGTTTTTCAGCTTTGTTTTCGATTTTTAAGGTTTTCAGTATCAAAGTCCTAGGTTCACTAATAACTTATTCGATAAGACAATACTCTTTTAAGTAATAAATAATGTCTTGTATAGCATGTGTATCAAACATTGTACTCAACATGCCCGACATGTTTAAAAGTGGACGATCATTTGGTGATGATCAGTGAATAGTGTTACAAATTCTTTCAATTTACAGCATATTATTTAATTCTCGATAAAAACTATATTTAAATTCACAAAAATTAAGTTTGTTACTAAGTTATTGAATATTATCTCAGATAACACGTACACGATCTATCTTTTTATCGTTGCTCATGCAAGTTTACACATATTAGATTGATTTGAAGCATGTTTGTTTCAATTAGTTTCGTGAAAACGAAATTGCTTTATTGGTATATACTGTCTTTATAATTGTTGATTGTTTTTCATATATTAAGATTTTAGTTCTCCACCCAACATAAATGGTGAAGAAAGAAAAATAATCAAGAAATTCATAAAATAAAAAAGAGCTAAGAACGATGAGGAGAAAGAAAATTAATTGTTGACTTTAATTTGAGATTTTAATTTAATTTTAATTCAAACTAAATAGGGGCTTAATATATTTTAAATTTTCAAATTAAGCCCCCGTCGATTTACCAAAAATTAGATTTTATTTATTTTTTGTCTAGATTTTAATAAAAATGTAGTTGAAAATAATAAGTCCGTCTAAGCCCCTGTTTGATGGTCGTTTTTTGGCCAAAACAACGTTTTGAATATTTATATTTAAGAGAATGTGTGGTTAAAAAGTAGTAAAAAATTTTGAATTTATGTATAAAATATTTTATTGTGTGAATCTGTAATTGAAAATGTAACGTGAAAAAGGAAGTTTTGAAATAATAATTGTTAAACACGGCTAAATAAAATCCTTAAAAATCCCAGATTTTGCCCTAGTTTGTTGTACATTAAAATCAAAATTTTGGTAGATTTTGATAAAAATTGGTGGAATGTGTGGTTGAAAAGTTGTAGGTTCCATAAAAATGTGTGGTTCAAATTAATTGTTAATTTTAATTTGAGATTAAAATCAGATTTTAATTTGTTCCGCAAGACATCTAGTTATATACAGAGTTCTAATCCTTGAAAATCCGTGTTATTGGGACACCTATATATATGCAGACTTCTAATCCATGTTGATCACAATTATAGCCATAGTTGTGTTTATATATAATTCTGTTTTTATGCATGTATTTGTGTATGCTTGTGCGTGAAGAGAGAAGGCTACACAGTAGAGAGAGAGAAGTTTGAGAGCTTCAAATTCCCATAAAAATGTCGTCTTGGTTTCCCTCAAGTTTCAGTTCCGATGATAACCCTTCTCCTGAATCTTCTTCTCCCACAACTCCCTCCGTTGGCTTTAAGGAAAACGTTTCCAACCTTTTCTGCGGTGTGGCGGCCTTTCTTCCGCAGCCACCGCCCAACTCGGACGTGATTGCCGGAATGAAGAATGACTTTGTGGAAATTAAGGATACCTTAAAATCGTGCCTCTCTTTTTTCTCCTCGAAACTCACTTCCCTTTTTTTACAGTTTCCCAGAGCAACTAACGATAGTGATGATGGATTGGAGAATGGTGTAGTTGGAGTTACCGAGGATGTCGTGGATTTTGTTGGAAAAATTTCATCAAGTCCAGAGCTTTGGACTGATTTTCCTATCTCTCTGCGTGATGGTAATTAATCCAACTTCAATCTTAATATTTTGGTATAGTAAATTTTGTTGATTCATTCACTTTTATCTAGTTTATTATGAGATCATTAAGTAAATATTTTAGTTGTTTGATTGAGTGATGATCAAAGTATTATTGAACTTCTGATTATTATGCAAACACTGATAGTTTCAGAATTATTATACTGATAAAGAGAATGCGTATGTGATGGTTGTGTGCATAAAGTTGTTTCTTGATCTGGTTTAGGACAAATACTATTTGTGGGCAATATTTGGGACAAGTATGTGGTTAATGCTCAATTAGCTGAATTTGTCGTTGAAAAGTGGATAACATATTCGACAAAAAGGGTCTAGAATATGGGTAGATTTTGGGTGTTGAGGATGTTGTGGGCGAAAGTAATAAGGGGCTGTCGAGGGTCTAATAAATAGTAGTCGATAACGTTAGTTCTTGGGAAATCGGGCTGTTAGGATGATTTTTTTGTTGTGAAGGGACGGACTATTAGCCACAAAAGAGGTTGAACCCAAAACCATCTATGCCAGAAAAGAGATTAACTATGGAATCAAGTTAAATGAGAAAGAACCCTGTAAACAGCCCTCCCTTCCTCCCAATCAATCAGGTTGCTCTGTAACTGAAGGGCGGTTATCGTGTTTTGTTAAAGAAAATCATGTCCTTAGCAATTATATAATTTATATTAACTGACCTACTTGATTCGCTTTGTGCATTGAACTAGAATGACTGCAAATAATACAGCAATATCAGTATGAACCATTGTTTCCCCGTAAATCTTAGTGCTCTATTTATCGTAGGTAAGTAGATATTAATTATAGAATGTCGTTTCTGCATGAGTTGTTGGTGCCAAGCTTAAAAATATGTTGTTGCAGATGTTGATATGTCTGACTACCAGAGAGAACATGCTTCAGAAATTGAGCGTTTGGTACCATGTCTTATGACATTAAGGCAGAAAATTAGCCGTCAAATAAGCTACAGGCAATTTTGGATCATCTATTTTACCTTATTGTTTGCCAGGTTGAATGAAGAGGATTTAAAGCTTCTAGCAACTCCACAGGCAAGATTCTATCCCACTTAATAACATTATTTTTATCTGTCTTTTCTTCCATGTCGAAACTTTGGTACCTGCGATGGAAATACTTATCAACTGGTTGTGATTCCTCTTACCATGCTTTGTGTAAAATACTTAATTTCTTTATGAATTGTCCTTTTTTTCTGTTTTACCTTCACTACCGTAAGTAAAATAACTTTCTTAAAAGTCCAATGAGAAAGGAAGGTGCTGGCTCTGCGCAGAGATTGAAGACCATTGATTAGCAATATGAATGGCTTCAAAGTTCGTCCTAAGTGGAAGTAGCTTCTTCATTTTTTGTCAGTTTCAATAGTTCCATGTCTTTCTACTTTCTCCTATCGTAGTTTACTAAGGGTTTGTTCTCTTTACCATTTTCAAGTCGTTTTCTGTTTTCGATTTTTCAAAATAATGAAAACGCGTATTTTTTTCTATTTTCGAAGACGCGTTTTTGAAAATAAGTTAATAAATTTCAAAGAAAACTCAAAACAAAAAATTTGTCGTTTTGAGTGTTTTCAATTATAATCAAGTCAAAATTTTCATAACGCTTTTTGAGTGTTTTCAAAACAATTTTTCAAAATGTCAACAAGAACGCATTTTCAACAATCTTAAAATAAACATTCAAAATACAAAACCCAAAATGAATTAAAAACTCAAAACACAAAACTAAAACACAAAGAGAACAACCCCTAAATTTCTAACTTGATACGATCACATCCTGCTTCTGCACCTTCTTCTTTATATGTTCTCCTCGATTTGTCACAACACCTTTCTGATATGAGTAGGGTAAATTGATAAAATAGTTGTAAAACGAGGAGACAGTTGTCTTTTATTAATAGATGTTTGATTCATGCAGGTTGTTGAAACGAGGGCGACAATTTTGCAGATGTTTCAAAATAAGATAACTTTTGGGAATTCAGATTCGTCTGAGGAGGATGGCGGCGAAGAAGTCGAAGAAAGCACGATCGAGCATAATGTGATCGATGAGGCTCTAAATGCAACAAAAGTCGTTACCAAAGTGGATTATGATCATATGTCACTATCACGGACCAAAAAAGTTTTATCAACAGCTGATGCTAAGGAATGGGTTGAAGTGAATGAAAGTTGCAAATCTCAAATCAGAGATAAAGGGTTGGAATCTGAAGAATTAGATGATTGGGTCACTATCTATGATTCTGATAGAGACAATTGGATAGCAATTTGAACCTTTCATACTGTAAATAATTTTTTTTTATTTTTTAGCCATGGAAACATATAATTCCTTTTTTCATTGAATATTATATATCAACTTTCATATGCTTTCTTTCGTTGGAGGAAAATATAATTGAAGGGGAAATTGTAATTGAAAGAGTGAATTAATCATTTTGCACTCTGAGTCTAATTATGGATATTAGATAGAAAAGCACAATAAAAGAGTTGAGATTTAGATTATTAAAAGTTAGATTACATGTGTATGTACCAACACAAAGGAGTAACAAGAAATCACGGCCTTCGCCATCTTTGCGCCTCTCAATTACGTGCTCTTTTATACCCTTGTTTGGTTTAGATAACAAATCGGATTTTAACAAATTTTGATAAAAATTGATGAAGTGTACGATCGAAAAGTTATATGGTCTTATAAAATATATGATTAAAATATATTTTTGACATTGAATTATATTTTTATTCACTTTTTAGCCGAACCAAACCGACGTATGCTGAAGCCTTTTTTTTTCCTTATTAGGACATCATTGGTCGAGGAAAAGAGTTTTCAATATAGATTAGTTTGGGTTACACTTGTCTAAGAGGAAATGTCAATAAATTCTTAACATTGTCATACTATAAATAATTTTGAATCACTATCAAGAGAGTGAGTTAATATATCTTGAATACTTCTTTAATATTTTTTCAATTCAATTGATTCTTTGGACAAATTTGCATGGTAAAAAGTAAAAACCAAATCCATACACTATTACAAATATGACTAACATTCTCAAAAAAAAAAATGAGAAAGTATGTTTGATAACGTAGGTTAGAAAATATTCGAGTATAATGGAAGAAAAGTTAATTAAAATATTAAAAACTGGAATGTCAATTCTAAATTATTTTTGTTATGAGCAATTAGATCGACGCTAACACTGAGATATGAAAGTTAAGGGAATGAATGAGAGTAAATCGCAAAGTTCTCATGACCTTTCAAGTGATAAACTACTGTCCTTAGCATTTTCTTATAGAAGTATCCTTAAATTTGATCATAACGTGAAAAAATGGTGAAAAAAACCCATTAGTCGCGCATTGGACTATTGTACAAACAATTTACATTGAAGAAAAAGATAAAAATGAGGAGAGAAGACACAAATTTCTCATGATCTTTTGAAACTTCCCACAAATAAGTTTCATGCTAACATAAAGAAGTCCTTGAATAAATTTCATCCAAAACCGTCCATTAAGTTGTTTTTTTCCCTCACATAAAGAGGGATGTCAATTTGCTCTGAAAAATCCATGCCTCATTGGGTCCTACACCGAATGAGGCAGGAATTTTTCACCTTGAGCCTATGGTGTACACCGAGTGTCTCGTCCCTTTCTGTCGACAATGAGCTTTTTACCTTAATAGATTGAATCGTACCTCTAGTGCTATTACTTTGAAGAAATTAGATTGCTCAATACTTCCCCTCTAGCCTCAATCAAGTAACTTCAATTATGGGCCGATGCATGCCATTTAGTCATTATTTTTCCACGCAAAAAATATTCCAACCACCTTTTCACTGTCGAAGTAAATAGGATTAGCAATTTTAACTGGGCGGCTCGCGGCTGTGAGCATTTCGGGCCAGCGCCACCGTCCCAATTATATACTTAATCTGAAAAATCAAAATTTGTTTAAAAATACTGTAGCCAAACTATGCCCAAACGAGGTGAAAGTTACCCTAAAGTTTCTCTACAGAACCATAGCATTGAATTATCTCCAAAGATCTTGATCAGACTAGGCATATGCCAAACGTGAATACCCCCTAGATACCATGGGTAAAATACTTGATAGGAAAACTCAATCTTGAGTGAAATGCACACTTACGTAATTCGCAGAATTAAGAGCCTTTTTACAATTTGCTTCGGATCTCTATAAAGCTACTCAAAATCAATTGACAAGTGGTCAACATTTACGTGAATTGCTTAAACAATCCCAATCAGCTCCTCTCACGATAGAAGAACAAATAGCTAGATCTAATAATTATCCAATAATGGATAAAAAATATTTTTTAAATTGTGTCTCTAGAAATGTATTTATCAAGCCGATTACCCAAACCCATTAACGCAATTCTAAATTTCTTCAAAAATTTTAAAAATATAAATGGGCCCACCTTAAGCAGGGATCGGGGCAGGGAAAATCCCGTGCGGGAGGGAGGCGAGCGCGGGGCACCCCGTCGTCATCCAATAAAGCAATTTATTATGCTAAATATCTGTTCACTCACCTCAAATTTGACTGTGTTGGTACATAACCACCCAAAATTGTGGACAAACAGTCTATTGAAAGGAGGTCCCTTAAAAAGGCTTATTATATAAGATAAGTCCTATATGCATAAGCAACATCCAGAGTAAACAGAGTTACGATGCGTCCTATGGTATCAACTTGAAGCAATTTCCTTTGTCTAGTCGACGTCTCCTTCACATGTTTAACATAATTGAAAGATGGCGCAAGGAAAAAAAACTTAAGAAACACAAAAGCACGAACCTATGTATGTATCGACATCCTAATAGCATGTACACCTTGCTATTACAGCAGAGAGGCTTCTAAAAATCCTGCCGAGTTAAGAAGGCCTCCACCCTCGAATATTACCAGGAACAGAGGGATGTTTGGATTCGAATGAACCTGATAGTGGCTGCAAAGCTGGAATAAAAGTAAACCCTGTTGAAGGCCTTAGCCTTGGACCATTTTGGAAAGGCATCGGTGGTGGCACTCTCAAATTTGGAGGTTGGCGATGAAATGGTGGAAATCCCTGGGGTGAATAATCTGGACGAGGAGGCACTGAACATTGACGAGGCAGAGGGCCCGAAGGGAGCTTTGGAGGTACGGAACCAGAAGGGCGCTGAGGTGGAACTCTGGAAGTTGAGTTAAAAGATGCAGTGTGCAGCATGGCTGATGGCTTGTTTGCTGCCGCTGAGGATTGAATCTGAGGCTTGGGTGGAAGCCATTCGGGCATGTCATCATCATCATCACAGAAAAGCTTTTTCTTGTTCATTTCGTCAAAAGAACTTTTGGGTGTGGCAAGCGAAACAGAGTTTTTAGATTGTACCACTAACCCATCTGAAATCTGAATTCCTTTGGGATGAAGTGTCATCCCAACTGAAGCTAGAGGAATTTCACAGGCAGTTTTGAAGTCAAATTCAGGAAGATCATCATCATCTCCAACAGGCATGTTCGATTTGATTGCTGGACATGGGAAAGGAATAACAGCTTTATTGAGTTCTGAACTTGTTTTAGATTGTTCCATCTTGGGATGTTGTGCCCAATAAGTTTTTGTTTCCTGTAACTGCCGCTCAAAGCCTTTTGACGTGCTGGAAAATCTAGATTTTTGTTCCCCAGCTGAAATAGAAACCATTGTTTGAACTGAAGCAGTTGGCAAGAACTCAATGGAAGAGGACATTTTACTAACTTCAATTTTTTTGTCATCGACATTTACAATTCCAAGAGCTGAGGAACAATTGACGAATGTATGTGACAGAGAAGATGAACCTCTCTCTACTACCGATTGATTAGAGCCGTCTGATTGGATTTTCAGAATCTGATCTGACAAGGAATCATCATTCTCAGATTTTTTCTCGACAGAACCTGAAGTCTCGGATTTTTTCTCAACAGCCCCTGAAGTCGCAGACTTTTTCTCACCGGTACCTGAAATCATTTGATTTTTCCGCCAGACTATACAACCGAGAAATAGTTCTGATTTGTCTTCACCAGCAGCCAAGCCCTTGAAGAAACCGTATTTTGCAAGAATTGTGATAATTTTATCACTCGGTGGACAGATGTAAATATCAACACCTGGTGAGAGTTTTGCAAATCCGACCCTCTCGCCTTTCCTGTATCCTTTCGCAACCTGATAATATTGAAATAGACATGACCAACTGGATCAGTTACTTCAAAAGCAGTTCAAACGATTTACTCCTCTTTTTTATTTTTGCCCCATAGTGAAGGTATAAAGTTGCAAATTTAATGAATACTAATTGATGCTCACCTCTTTCATGCCCTTGAGACCTCTTTCAGCTGATCCCTTTTTCCAACACAGGGAAGTCACCTAAATATAAATGCATTATCAACTTCAAATCTTAGAACACCAAATATGTGAACCACAATGTTATTCTAAAATAAAAAGAAGATATTGTCAATATAGGGTCAAAATGAGCTTTAGAGTAACTAACAGTGAATGTGCCAGTAAATCCGATTTTAATCCCTCCCAAACAAGCTCTATAAATAGTCCAAAGTCTACTGTAGGTTATCCCAATTCTTGCTAAAACTAAGCTTCAATTAGAAAATACTTCAAGAATTCCTATCTGCTTCAATCACAAAAAAACTTGCAATGACAATTCCTTTTGACTCCTAAGTGCTTCACAAATAATGCATTACTATAAGTATTTCCAGGAATTTCAAGTATGCAACAAAATAATTAGCCAAGTGTAAGGAGAAAACACATTCAGAAGTAGCTTCAAGCGATGTAAGCATGCAGAATGAATAATCTAAAGCACCATTAACCTCTCTCATAAGGTGCAAGTTACAAAGATTGAATTCAGTTGTATGCCATCACAAGATCAATATTCTGCACTGTCGGTTAGCTAAACCTCACAAAATAGTACAAATTCCTATGTTCTCATCTCATCTAACCTAAGTTGGATGCACAACAGCAAAACAGTGGCTATGAGAATCAAACACGATCAAGAAAATGATTAAAAGTTAAATCCCATAATCACAAAGCCCAAAGTCAAATAACACGATCACTACTGATAAACTTGACCACTTGCAACTTTACAAGTGGAAAAGCTCTCTGTATTTGGTAACACAACATACAAATTGACTGCACATTTCAACTAGAAGTAGAATCGTTCTGTAATTAAAAGTTAAGCTTATGATCAATTTTCCAATAGTCAATAATGTCTGAGTAATTCTCCCTTCCTAAATTCCAGACCTGCTCAATTTAGCAATTAGGGAAGGCAGAGTAAGGTGCCACATAATTTTCTCTTCCAAAAATGAACCTGCTTAACTACCCTACTTCTCAAACCTTAATGAGTACCACACACGGTTTTAATCTCATCTCCAAAACCCTTCAAATTTATTTTAGCTGGCAACTGATTTTGCTTATGATTCTTTAAGATAACTAATGCTTACATTCATATGAAACCTAAATAAGAAACATGAAACACAAAATCGAAAGACAACAAACATTAGTTCATAATTCCTTAACACACATTTGCATTCTGTTCTATAAACATTTAATCAAAATTACAACAGTAAGAACAGTTTAACTCACTCGAACAAACAATGGTGCATTTGCTTCAAGATAGCATATCAGCTATGTTGTTAAGTTGTCTGAGGCTTATCCCCTCGAGTTCCACCTCACATGAGGCTTTCAGTAAATGCCTCAAAGCATAACCCTCAAGGTAGTAGTGGAGGTGTGTGTTTGTCTTCCTAATTTTTTTTCTGAGCTTTTTATTATTGGCCTTTGTTTTTTAGCTAATTTTTATAACTTAAAAACATTTTACAGATTTTTCATTTTCCTTTCTCTTCCTTCACGCGGAGGAAAGGGAACCATTGCAAGTGGAGGATGATGAAAAAGAATGAGAAGAAACTTTTAGTAATGAATGATTTCAAAATCAAATATGCTCACCAATCTCTTATAGATCCCATTAGTAGTAATGTTACAGAAGACTTCTAGTAATGGATCACAATTTTGTTACATAATTACTAATTTGATAACTTAGTATTTGCTACCTTATTGATCTACTTTATATTTGTTTGCAAGTTAAACTTGTAAATTTCTTTAATTTGGATTTTTCAAGATGATTTATGATTTACTTTGAGCTTACATTTCTATTCTTAATTTCTTTTAAATTATTGATTTGAACCATACGCCTCAAAACAACACAAGCTTACAGCTCAAAATAAAAAAATGTTGCTAATTTTTCATAATTAAAATTGTTGGATGTGTGGAGCTTAATGTATTGGGAAATTGGCACATATATTAGGTAGCCATGGTATATTCCTCCATAGAAAAGGGTAAAAAGGCAAGCCTCCATTCTGTGTTTCATGGTAAAAAGGAAACAAAGAGAGACATAAGTCCAAAACATATTGCAATTCTCTTCTTCGTTATAGTACAATTTTGTAGCGACACCAAATGCACATAGCTCTTTCATTGAGAGTAAAGCAGCTTAAATCGTGTGTTTTCTTTCTGTCATCTTTTCCATTTCATGTTATTAATTACTCTCAGTAGTACAGATTATTCATTCGAGCCATAACAAGAATTTATATGGAGCTGTTCAATGTCTTGCAATTTTAAGTGTCATTTGAGGTTTAGAACGTCATAATTTAGTTTAGTAGTGTGTCTAACTTGGTCAGATGCAGAACTATCTTTAAGAAATATCATCAAATCTTTTGGTTACAGATTATTTTTCTCAAAAACCAACTCCAACCGTGATTGCATTATCAGTTTTTGCCTACATCAGTATCACAGTATTTCTTTTGTTGATTTAGCAATGTAAACATCTTCATGTTCTGGAACATAATGTGAAGTTGTTTCTGTCCATGTATTGAAACATAATGTATGTTCTCGATTGTTCAGTTGATAAGGAGCTATACTGTAGATTATTTGTACATTTGATGAACCATTGGCAGGACAGTTATATTCCCTTAGAAAATGTTCAATTTATGTTGTTACCCCGTGCCATCCACCCATGACTTTGAGGACACCTCATCCAACTTTACAAATAAAGCCCAAGCATTGGCATTTCCATTGTTGTCATTTTATATGTGTGGTTACAATTATCTTCGCTCCTAATTGTTGGAATGTGCCAACAACGTACCTCCTAGCAAACTATTAGCTAACAAGTATAATCTTACCACAATAGAGTATGGTGTGAATCAAGCAAGTATGCATAAAAGTATTTGCCTCAAAGAGGATGGATTCCAAAAAGTCCCCCCATTTTCTAGGTATGAAAAAGTTTGGACTTTCAATTTTTCGAAATATTTCCTATAACAGATGTTCTTCTTTATTTGGAAAATAAAAACAATAAAAACCTACATATTTCGAGAGAAGACTAGATAGATCTTGTTTACACTATCTCAAC